CATTCAATTCAATATAAAGGCAGAGAATTTTTGAAAATATTATTTTTATATTTTATTTTTTGCAAAAAATATCATAAAATAATATTTTAAAATTCTATTCATTATTTTTTTATTATAAAGAAAGTAGAGATGGATCATTTTCAGTCTTTTGAAAAATGATTTAAAAAAAAAACTCTACTGAAACAATTTTTGTTTTTGTCAGAAAAAAAATACGTTTTTTTGTTAGATTTCCAAATCATTGGGAATAAAAAGTAAATGTGGAAAATTAGATTGTCTTTTTTTTGTGACAAAATCCAATTATTACCGCAAAGATTTTCTTTTTAAAAGAGAAAAGTATTCCGGTTGCGTGAATCGTTTTTTTTTTTTTTTGTTGAAAAGCACGATCTACAATCAGTGATCACTTTACGTCTTGCATACCAATTGCCTGTACAAAAGAGTAAAATATGCAAACCTCTTTCGTAGACGAAGAAAATAGCATTAGTTGCGAATTGAGAATGGTTTTCGAGTGCAAAAGAGCATTACTGTTGGGAAATTTTATCACTAATAGCAAATAAGGAACACATTAAATATTTTCTTTTTTTAAGAATTATTTTCATTAGAATTTATTTAATGGAATAATTCAATTTTCTTTTTTTTTATATTAATGCATTTAGAAGGGGGGGAGAAGAAATATTTTTCTAAAACAAGCATATTATATATTCACGAATAATATTTTGTTTAATGTAAAATGTTATTGTCCATAAAACAGAGTACGTTAAATAATGTCTGGTGAATGGAAATTATGCCTGAGTGAAATTGCCATATATGTTAAAAGCGGAAGCGCTCGGCGTTTGTCGAGGTGAAATTGACTGCGAATTTCAGTAATTTGGCCAACGCACACGAGTAATAAACTTCTTCTTATCCCATGGTTTCAACTAGTGCGAAAGAGAGAGAGAGAGAGAGAAAGAGAGAGAGTTAATGGAAACAGAGCAGAGTGAAGAGAACGTTGGTTGGAAGAGTAATATCGGCATTGCTAAAATGGAGAACCTGCCTCACTTTTTCACCCCTGTGGAAGCAGCACGCTTTCAAAAAATAATGAAAGGCACAAAAAAAATGTGTGCATGGAATGAGGACCGCATAGTTTCCGTGTGTTAACTCAACTGGGACGGTCCCCCCCCCCTCTCTCTCTCCCGATTTGCTGATAACGAATAATACCATTTGGGACGAAAGCCTGACACGAACCAATTAGCTCCAACTTGACTATTGGGATTTACTTTACGACGCTATCATGTTGGTCGCTGAAAACGTTTCGCTGTATTTCCTCCAATAAAATGTTTCCACGTATCACGTATTATTCAAATTGAACATGTTTTGCACGTACAAACTTTTCGAATTAATATTTATATATATATATATATTTCTTATCGGCTTTCTAATTTTATTTTATTTATTTTAATTTAATAACAATTTAAATAATAATTGATAGTTAAAAAAAAGGAATTTTTTATCTATTAAAAACAAAGATTAAGATAATTATTTAATATTTCAATATGTCGAGATTTTTAATTTTCAAACAAAAATAATATTATTTAAATTGTTATTAATTTCCTTTAAAGTGAATTAAAATTAAATTATAATGTAATAAATCACACTTATTAAATAAGTGAGTTTTCTTTGATAATGGAAAATGTTGATATTCAATAGATCTATAAAATGGTAATTAACGTTCATTAATTATTATTGCAGTATCATTCTCTTGACACATATTTCCAATATTTATCAATAAATTATTTTTAATACTTCTATTATGGAATATTTAATGATTTGAAAATATATTTAGAAATCAATCAGAAAAAAATAATCAAAATGTGTTAGACAAAATATTAGAAACAAGACGTTTGTAATTAACAGCTTTCGCAAAAGCACACGTATCAGTAATCACTCTAGGAAATCAATACCTGAAGAACGCTTGGACCGCAAGCATGCTGCACTATCCTTTCAATCAAGCAAACCTATGATTTGCTGAATGACAAACATTTCTCTATCGCTTATCTGCAACCAAGAATTGATTGACCAAACTATATTGTATATAATTTTCAAAATAGTGAATTTTAATTTAATGTAAAAGTTGTAAAAATACCAAAATTCGCAAAAAACAACTAAAATATTAATACGTCTGACTAAAACCGATATAGACTACTGAAAAAATTACAAATATTTAGAAAGTCTGATTAAATATTTACTTTTACTACTGATTTTCAAATTTAAATGTGTCTGACCAAAATCGACTTATACTACTGATAACAATGGGACAATTTGTGAAGCCAGATTTAATATTGACTTGTACTACTTATAAAATTACTAATGTTTAGAAAGTCTGATTAAATATTTAGCTTTACTACTGCTTTTCTAAATTAAGTAAATGTCTCACCAAAATCGATTTACACTACTAGTGTAATTACAAAAAAATTTCATGTCTGACTAAATATTTACTTTTACTACTAATTTATTAGTTACGTCTGACCAAAACTGACTAAAGCTACTGATAAATTAAGAAACAATAAAAAATCTGACTAAATATTTACTCGTACTATTGTTTTTGCAATTTAGTTAATACGTCTGACTGAAATTGTTTTATACTACTAAAAAAAATTTTAAAAAGCTGATTATATTTACTTGTACTACTAATTTTCTAATTTACTTTTTAAGTACGACTAAAATTAATTTATACTACTCATTATTGAAATTATTATTAAAATAATAAAAAAAAATTGTATACATAGGAAATATTTGATAGTATATATAAATATCACTCGACACTATTCCAGGTGTATGTGGATTGTGAGATGATTGGGTTGGTGAGAATACGAAGGTGTAATGGAGATGGGGCTGGAGGTACAAGGGGAAGATAGGAAGCATAGTAAGCAACCGGGTGGCTAATAGAAGCTGGAGGATGCGGTGTTTGAACAATGGCACATGTCGCCTATGCAATTGCGCCCCTGAACAGGCCACGACAGCCCCTGTCATAACCCGTCTTCATGTTCCTCGGTTATTAGCAACGAGCCAGAGGGACTGACCAAACGACAGAGACGCGACGCTTGCTTTTCAAAGCTCGCCACCCCCTCTCCAAACCTTATGTACACGATCCCATTAAGCTTTTCAGACTACAATCATACGCGCATTATCTCCAACACTTTATATATGTATTCTGGCGTTGTACGTTAATTCATAAACGCCTAATTTACAATTTTCTATTTTCATTATACTTTTAGAGTTTTTTATATTTTTTTTTGTAATTTTATCAGTAGTACAAGTCGATTTTGTGGGAGACATAAAAAATAATTTTGATAATCAGTAGTAAAGGTAGGCCTTAGGTAAGACTTTTGTTTATTATTTTATTAGTAGCATAAACCAGTTTTAGTCAGACTAAATATTTATCTATACTACTGATTTTCTGATTTAGTTAATATTTCTGACGTAAAATCAACTTGTACTACTGAAAAATTACAAAAATATTAAAAGTATGACTAAATTTTTAGTTTTACTACTGATTTTCTAATTTAGAAATTTTATAATTTAGGTAATAAGTCTGACGAAAATCGACTTATACCACTGATAAAATTCGAAAATTTTGCAAAACCGAATTAAATATTGACTTGTACTACTGATAAAATTACTAATAGTTCGAATGTCTGACTAAATATTTACTTTTACTACTGATTTTGTAATTTAGGTAATATGTCTAACCAAAACCGATTTACACTACTAATAATTGTATATACTATTTAATTATTTATTTGTAATAAGAAAATTATTGAAGTAATTGAAGAGAAAATCAAGTAAAATGAAAAATATCAAAATTTTTGTATTTTATGTTAGCAATTAAAATTAAAACATTGCGTTTAAATGAAAAAAACAAGTTTTAAAGAGGGTTTCTCTCTTTTTTTCTTACAAAGAAATTAAACGAGTATTTATTTTTATTGTCACTAAAATAAATACTCTCTCTGTCTCTCTTTATATATATATATATGTGTATGTCCTTTAAACGTACAGTTGAACATAATGCAAATTTTCGTAATTATTGATATAAATCAAAACGTTTATTATGAAGTCCATCAAAAGCAAAATGACTCGTCATTTGTCAGAGCTGTTCAATAACGATTGATTGCCCAACACTACAACTCTTCTTCTGCAAGTTCTCTCTATTTCGCTCATTTCTCTTCAATGTCGGCAGTCGTCTATATCTATATATATATACCTACACACACACCTGTCTATGCCTGAATGACCCCAAGCTATCGATCGTACTTTGAATTGGAGAATTGAACTGGCAGAGTGTTATAGAAGCAGTTCCGCTCTGCACCTGCTACATCTTGAAAAGTTCCCTTTATTCATCAATTTCCAAATGAGATCATTTGTACTAAACTCGCATTTTATCCAAGCAAACAAAACAAAATTTTCAATTGAATATATAAAAAATAAAAAAAATAACAAATTTTAAGAACATTTATTTTATTAGCAAATTATTTTAAATTATTTATTTATTTTTACAAAAATTAGAAATTAATTTTTTATATTGTTATTAATTATTTATTTACGTTTCAATTTATGGAACGATTAATTTTTTAATCTTCTTCTTTATTATTTGCTATTATTATAGTTTTCAATTAAATATCGTCGTGTAAGATTGAAATTAATACAATTACTATATTCTCCACTTAGGCACGTGGTCCTCTAATCGATGCTATTCACGCGTCGCTTAAGTAGAGACACTACAATGGTGACATTCACAAGGGGATGATGTCTACGTGAAATGTATATAATACTCGAATTCATAAATATTCATGACGAATAGTGAATTTTAAAAGAGTTATTTATTTCAATTATCTTTGCGTAATTAAGTAAATTTTTTGTTTATTCTTAACTTCAAATTAAAGATTTGGAAAATAAAAAATTATTTTTCTAAGAAAAATAAATTATTTTATTAAATTTTAATAATAAAATTTGTTTTTTTGTTACAGGCAATGCAAACGACACTTTGCGGTGGTTAGTTCGACTTTTCTCGCAGAAGTGGCGACGCGAGGGAAAATCGTCGCCGCAGGCAGACGAGCCGGACAGCGGTAGTGGCAGCAGAGCGGCAAGGGTGAGTTGAATTTGATGTTTTTTTTTCTTTCTTTTTTTTTTTTTTTGATTTCACGTTCTGTTACAGTTTCCTTGAGAGCCGTTTAGATTCTCTGTGAAGCGCGAAATCCCTACGGGCACTTCAAAATTCGTTTGATGCTCGCCTTTTTTTTCTACTTTCGAAAATAGTCGACAAAATTTTAACATTATAGTTCCACCTTTTTTTTTCCCCATGTTTTTCAATTTCACTTTTACTTTGTAAATCGTAATTCTAATAAAATAATTTTTAGTAAAATTTTGATTGCCTTTTTGCTTCAACAATTAGACAAGAAAATTTTTTTTTAAAAATATTTCATCATTTTTTAAAAAGAAAAATGTATTTTATTTGTGAATTTAATTCTCACGTATGATATTTGAGATGGATCCCATAATACTATCAATTAAAATTTTTTTCTTTTTTCAAATCTAATAATTTATTTTCAAAGTTATAAAAAAAAATAACAAAGAAGCAAACTACATTTATTTTGCAACTTGGTCTGAATCGTATTTTGTGATCACAAATCTTGAACGGACGGCAACTTTTGTTGAATTATTACTTTTCTAAAGTTTCTGCTTTTAATTCATTATATTATATATGTATATATACATAATCTCGAAACTCATTACTTTTAGATTTGAAATCTCTTGAAGAGTAGCCGTAAGTAGAATTAGTTTTCTATTGACCAGTCATGTTTGCTGTAAAAAGTAAATTGCAATTTCAGGTTTTAAACTTGCCACTCTTAAACTATTGGTGGCGGTAGGGTGGGAGGGGGGGAGGGGTCAATGGTAAATAAGTATTCTGGATGTGAGTGTATATTCGAAAGAAACTTTTGCCTCCGCACCACAATGTACAGCTTGTTTTGGGAACTCCAATAAAAGTTTTATGTTTACCGTATACTTTTCATTCAATGAAAATGATATTTCTGACTTGAAAATATCCACACACATATATATTTTTTTCCTTTGGGAAAATGAAACTTCTATATAGAAACTCATAGGAAGAAATTTTAATGGACTTGGTAATGAGATCAAGTGTGAAAACTTTGAATTGCATTTGATATTACTTAAGCTGAGAAAAGTAAGTGAACAAAAGTCTTAGTAACTTGAGGTAAAATCTTTTGTATTCAACTGCAAAGCTAAATTGAAACCAATTTTAAACTTTTGTTTGGCAAATGAACTCTAAAAGTTTTATTTTTTTTTTTTAACGATTTCAATTTATATTGCTTTTAATGGGTAATTTCAGTAAATATTTATATAAATGAGGAGTTTAAATAAATATTTATTTAAATGTGAATTATAAATAATTTTTATGTAAATACCTATAAATTACTTTTTTCTACTATTTCAATTTTTTTTTTTGTTTTAAGAGAAAAATACAATTTTTTTTTATCTCACGAACAAGTTTTATTTGTTCTTACTAAAGGGGAAAAAAAAGGAAATGAACATTATTTTTCCTGTTTGTTTTTTTCGAATACTGTAGCTATTTTTTTTTCTCTGTAAAACTAATGGAGTCGAAGTACATACATGTGCCATATATGATGTATAGTCGATCGATTAGCCATATTTTGGTACTAACGCGAAAATGTTTTTTCTTTTTTGTCATGTATCCATATAGGTACTATGGGAGCAGGGGAATGGGGGGCGGAGGAGGGCTACAAGCCACGGACCTCCGGCGAAGGATCGTGTCCCAACGTTCCAGAAGTCGAAAAAATTCACGTCTCCTAGAAGAAGATGCTCCAAACACAAAAAATTCTGGAGATTGTCTCGGTGACGAATCGTAAGTAAATAATTTCCATTTTTCGTCTGTTCAAAAAACAAATTAAAAATTAGTTTTTAAAAAAAATCACACTAAAAATTACTTAAAATAGTAGAATTACAATTAGAATTTTAAAATCAGTAGTAAGAAACAATTTTGGCTAGACGACGCTTTTTTATATTCTGTTTTTATCAGTAGTAAAAACCGTTCTTGTCAGACGTAAAAATGGTTTTCTATTTTTAGTGTTATAGTAGAAAATCTGTCCTAATAAGTGAAATAAATTTTTTAAATAGCTAAAGTAAATTACAGTCGGACAAAAAAATTATTGAAATTTAAAAATCAGTAGTAGGAATCTGTTTTATTCAGACAGAGGTTTTTCGAATCTTGCTTTCTATTTATCAGTAGTCAAAACTGTTTTTGTCAGACATATAGTAGTTTTTCTTTTTTTCTGTTTCAGTAGAAAATTTCAGTCCTAGTCAGACAAAAAAAACTTTTATAGATAGCAAAATTAAATTACAGTAAAACAATAATTGTAATTTTAAAAAATCAGTAGTAAGAATCAGTTATGGTCGGACAAGGCTTTTCGAATTTTTTTATGTTTTTATCAGTAGTAAAAATCGTTTCATAAGTAAAATTATTTCTTAAATTTTTTGGTGTCTTTGTAAAAAAAATGGCATTTTCTTTTTGTTTTTAGACCCATTAGGCAAAGTTCAGGACAGCCGACATGTGTCGGATTCAAAAGAAAAGACATCGAGGAAGAAGGAAGGGAAATTACGGAGGAGAACTTAAGACTGAGCGATGTGGTAACGGCAGAATTAAAATCAAGACTCTCAGTCGGAAGTTTTGGAAATTCAGAGGACAACTACAGTGAGGATGGAAATGGACGAACAGGGAACAACCAGAGGCGAAACCGTTTCCGGTGGTTTATCAAAGACCTTTGGCGAATCGTGGGAATGGCATCAAGGACTCTGTTCCTCGGTGTTGTGCTACTCGTTACGCCAGGTATTTTCTTTTCTTTTAATCAACAATTTTTATAATGAAATCCAAAAATTTAAGTTAAATATCATTATTTTAGAAATTTAAATCTGATGAGAGGAAATTTAGTGAAAAAAGAAAATATATATTCTTGATAAATAATACATATCTTGTATGAGAGATATTTATTCTAAAAAATACACATAAACGATTCATATTCACGCGATTTTCATCTGATAATATCAATGGGCATTCATAAATATATTTATAAATAGAATTTTAATGGCACCCTCATTTCAAGTGTCAAAGGCGAACGCTGTGCGATAGTTCTATGGATCCCGAAGAAAATAGGGCACCTGTTGCGGTTGCATTGACAATGTATCACTTACTTTAGCGCAGAGTGTATTAAATCAGCATATTAAAGTGTTGAGAGATGATGCGAAAAGGAATTGTTCAGTTTACTTGAAAAAAAAAATGCTCATCATGTTTATTAGTACTCCTATTTTATTATTTTCCTTTTTAATAAATTTTTTAGCATAATAAAATGATTTATGTTCAAAAAAGTAATTAGGCATAATAGTTGTATAATATATAGGAAAATTAAGAATCATATGTAGAAAATTGTTAATTGGGTTCGTTAAGTGTATTTTTTTTTTTTTTTAAAGAAAAAAAGCAACATATGCGTGAGCATGTGAATAATTTTGCTTTGTACCTTGAAAAGTGTAAACCGTTCTTGTAAACCTTGTTAGTCTTGTTAGCACATATAATTCCATTAAAACTCAGCTTTCTTCATGAGAGAGTTGACAAGGTGCGTGTTAATAGTACAGCTACTCGACTTAATATGATTAAAACTCGTGTTTTTCCGCGTTTTTAGACCGTAGAATAACCTGCAGATTACAATTATGATGATTCCACTAGCGAGAGAGAATATGTAATCTTCAAAAATTTGTGCTTCAATATATGCCACTTTAATTATTCTTTTTTTTACAAAAAATTATTTTTCCTGAAAAATCAGTTAACATTTTTTTAAAATCAAAGAATTCAATTAAACTTGACTATTTTTTCACTGATAATTAACTAATTAGTTATTTTTACTATTAAGAAACCCACTGTGTTTATTAATTTCCTCTCAGCAATAAAATATTTTTATAAACAATTTTTCTATATACTTGAAAAGATCTTAACATATAATATAGAAATGAAGCAAATGAATATTATAAATTCTAGGTTAATAAATAAATTTATCTGCTTGAAACAAGAAAGAATCGGAATTTTTTTTTAAATTATAATAGTGACAATAATATCATACAATCGTTTGGATAATAATAGGAAGTATTCTTCCAGAACTAGAATTAAGTAACATTGAATTATCTATCATTCTTTATGAATAATAACAAACAGTTGAAAATTTTACTGTTCTTGAATTCCCTTACATGCGACAGTTAATTCAGTTTCTCAAGAACCACGAGTTGTGTCACTTCGTATTTGTCCTGAAAAAAAAAATTATTTATAAAATCCTCTTTTTTAGAAAAAAAAATGAAATTAGTGTTAAAAGTGCTGTGCTTTCTGTTTCTCTTAATTTTAAATAAAACTGGTATGTTGTGAGGATAATTTTTTTTGAAAACTTTTCTCACTATCACGATTATATTAACTTCCAGAGCACTTGGTCGGGGAAATGTTAAATAAATCGTTGAGTGAGATGATAAATCGCGCTTAAAATTGCGAAGGTGTTGGGAGTTCCGTTACAAAAGTTGGAGGATAAATTGTTCATCAGAAAAAAAAAGAAAGTAAAAAAAAAGAAAGAAAAAAAAAGAAAATGAGAAGAAAACAATGGGTGTTGAAAAGGAGGAGCTTGAAATTAGCGAGGAAGTTGTTTAATACGGAAAGTTTTTTTTTTTTATATATATAAAAAGCTAAAGGCGCGGAAGCTTCCATTGTGATCGTCACTTGTACGGAGCGCGCCTCTCTGTCCTCATTCTCTACTAAACTTTTGCAGGCTACTATCCGTAATTTATTTATTTCTCAATTATTTTTTGTCCGCCTTTTTATTTCTTTTCAGCACACAAATTCAACACTTTTCACTTGGTAGATTTTCTCGCCTTTTCTTGCCTGCAATTTCAAGTTTCCCCCTGCGACCTTCCAGTATTTTTCTTCTAGCTAAAGCAGCTCATAAGTTTGAAAAAAAAAAAAACTTTTTTAAGTTCATGAAACGGAAGTTCATTCAGTGAAAGAGTAGAATATATTAATATATAGTCAACTAAAAATCCAAGTTTCATATATAAAGAAAAATCAGATAATCCTTACAAAAAAAAAAGAAATATTACGTAAAATCTCTCATACGAAGGAGAAAAAAAATTGCACAATGGAAACTATCTAGAATTTTCATCATAATAAAAAAAAACTTTCTAGTTTGTGTCTTCAATTTGACGAAAGTCATAAAGTTCTATTGTTCTCAAAGATGGTACTCGATTGAGGATTAAAATTACATTCATCGTAACGATGTTTCCTCTCTTTCTCTCTCTTTTGAGTGACAGAGATGACCATCGTAAATTACAGAGTAAGATAAATGGGCAGAGATAAAGAAAAAGGGAGTTCCTAACGCGCCTTGTCTTCCTTGTTTGCAACTAGTCGTTGTCGTTCCAGATGGCAAGCGGTAACCATGTCCATTCCTGTATATAAAGAACATTGCCCTTGAGTAAATATCGTGGAAGAAAAAAAAAACCTTTCCTATAAACTGATCGTCCACGCTCTTTTTCATAGTGGCATATATACAATTTCCTTACTGTACCTGTCATTGATCGTTTTATTTTAAGAGATACTTAATTTAATAGCGTATGGAGCACTGCGGATAACATACGCATATAAAATCGCTTTCGTTGCCTATAAAATCGAATATATTTTTATTATTACTCAGTAAAATTGAAAATTCAGTTCTCAAGTAACATTCTAAAAAAGAATTTTTATATTTTTAATTTTCTATTTGTTTTTTTAAAAACTAATTTAAATTAAAATTAGCAATAATTTCTTCGCATAAATCTTTTGAATTCTTATCTAAGAAACAAGTTGTATTACTTTTTTTTAATAGAGAGAAAATCATCGAATTTGAACAGTAATTAAGAAAATATGATGAGGTTGTAAACAAGAAATTTAATGTCTTATTATTTCATGTCTGACTGGATTTTAGCAGGCCTTTGATGCAATTCTAGGACTTCTGATTAGTGGGTTACGATTTTATAGCTCAATAAAAGTGGCTTTAACGGAGACTATAAAAGATGCGAGATACCGGTGCGGGAGCCCGGCAGGCAAATTGAACTCGTGACATTTTCGAGTGCTGCATTGGAACATTGATTTCTCGCAAACACCCTATGTAGAAAGAGCGTGCTAAACTTACATATACAATATATGTATATACATATATGCAATATATAGTGCGAAAGTCAATAAAAATGTATCAGAATCGAAGAGGACATTTCAACACGACGAGAAAGAAATTTATCCTCACAAATAACTTCTTTTTTCCATTTTCAATTTATTCCTCTCGCTTTTCTAAGATCTATACTTCCTATTTGCCGGAAACATAAGACATTTTGTCTAGATTTAGTGTCTGAAAATTGTTTGAAAAATTTACAACCTTTAATTTTGGAATCGTTGTGTATATATCAAAAGACAGAACAAATAAAAAAGTTTCTTTTATTAAATTTTAAAATAATATCTATATTTATATAAACTATTTATCCAATTAAAACAACATATAGTCACAATATTGCCATAATATTGCCTTAATCTTGCCACAATATTGCCTTAGTATATTGCCCTAATATTGCCTTAAAATATTGCCCTAATATTGCCTTAAAATATTGCCCTAATATTGCCTTAAAATATTGCCCTAATATTGCATTAATTTTGCCACAATATTGCCTTAGTATATTGCCCTAATATTGCCTTAGTATATTGCCCTAATATTATCTTAAAATATTGCCCTAATATTGCCTTAATAATGCCTTAAAATATTGCCACAATATTTCCTTAATATTGCCTTAAAATATTGCCCTAATATTGCCTTAATTTTCCCACAATATTGCCTTAGTATATTGCCCTAATATTACCTTAAAATATTGCCCTAATATTGCCTTAATAATGCCTTAATATTTCCTTAAAATATTGCCCTAATATTTGCCTAATATTGCCTTAATTTAGCCTGAATATTGCCTTAGTATATTGCCTTAATAATGCCTTAAAATATTGCCCTAATATTGCCTTGAGGTATTGCATTAAAATATTGCCTTAATAATACCTTAATTTTGGCATAATATTGCCTTAATATTCTAAAAAATGAATTTCTATCTATTGTTGATAAAAGATTAATTAAATTTCCCGGTATTTATAGATACGGTGATTAATGTAACATAACTGGGGAAATTCACTGACATTATATTATGAAATCTACCAGGTCTGAAGACTAAAAGCGTTATCGTAATGTTGATAATATTATCGCAGCGATGCTAATAGCATGACAACGGTACAATTTCTGTGGTTAGAATGTCAATTATAACGGATAATTTGATGAAATTCGGGTTTGTGAGGATGGTGACATTGTCGATCAATGGGAGATCCAATGATGAGATATCAAGAGATGATGAAAGGAACAGGTTGAATTTCTCTTTCCTGTGTGTGTATTATTTTAACAAATATTCATTACACAAATGTTCCAATTTTCGTTAATTAAATTTATCAAACAAAATTTCTCACATATTACGTATAATATTATTTATTAACCATACATAGAATTTTTTTTTTAAAAAAAGAATTTATTTACCCAAACTGAGAAAATTGAAAATCAATTTTTATCGAAGAGAAAATATTTTTCATTTCAAAATGGTACTTTACAAATATGGTGCTTTAAATAAAATTTCCTTGAGTATTTTCCTCTTCGATTTTTATTTTCTCATATATGAGAAGGTATTATTTTTGTCAGATTGAAAATATTTATCTTACAATTGTAAGAGATTCCTTTGAAAAGTTGATGGATTTTTTTTTTAAGATGAAGAAAATCTTTTCTGTTTTAAAAAAATTATATATAAAAAATTTATTGGAAAATTTTTATAATATTTTTTATGCATATATATATATATTTTTTTTTATATTTGAAATCTCCTGATTATAATATCCGTGTTTCCTAGGTGGGGATTATTAATGTCGAATGTTGCCTGTGATTCGATAGTCGCCCTCTCAGGCTTTGACTGTGATTATTATCACACACAATGCAGACATATCCTTGTAAACGAATATGTGAATAGATCTCAACGAAACCCTGACGCAGACTATGTAATGGTCTCGTTATACAAAACATTGATCAAAGGGAAAGCCCCCCCTTAAGCTCTATATATGTTACACAAGAATAAAATTTATCAGACATATAACTCGAGAAAAACAGAATGATACGATTCTTTTCGTAAAATATTTGAAAAATCAAATGTTTCTTAAAAAGGGTATTGATTCTATTTATATGAAAAGATGATAAAAAAATTCTCAATCCCAGTGAGTGATGTGTAAAATTTTGTTAGACAAATCTTGACAATGGTAAATAATTTAAGAAGTAGAAAAAGTCTTGCAGAAAATTCAATCAGTATTTTTTTTTTTTTAGAGACATAACAATATGAAAGAGAAAGAAAATTTTTAAAGGAAAAAGAGAGAGTACAAAGGCAGTCGAATGTCCTTTTTATCAAAGTAGTTTGTACTCTCAAATGTAGAGTGATGTTCTTCTTGTCGCAATAAAGGAACAAGACCTTCTGTTGTTGCAAAGGTGGCATAATAATGAACTTGAATCCTCTACTGTCTTCTGTTCTACTTTCGTCGTCGATAATACAAACTATAGTTTGCATAACCAAGTCAATGGAAAATAAATGCGGAAGGATTGAAAGAATTTACTTAAACATCATAATAGAAGTAGAAGAATTTCAAGGACTTTTTTGTTATAGTCTTTTTCTTTTGTTTTGTAAACATTTATTCTTAAATAATTTGATTCTATATATATATCATTTTGTATTTAAGTTAAAAGCAATTTTAGAAAGTGAAAACGAAATTCCTTCAAATCAACTTCGCGGCTGTTTGCCTTCCTGCGGCAGTTGGTAACTTAACACGACTGGCACATGTGGTGCGATTCATTAATACGTCGTATCCACTGAAAACTTCCAAACCTGTCTCCCATATTCATCAAAACAGTTTACAAACTTGATGCATTTCACAGGATTTAAACTCTATTTATTTATTCGAAACATATTTTAACAAGTCTAGTTCATTATTATTGAATTGAAGAAATATAATATAAATAGTCTTTCAAAATATTGATATTCTTATTTACTTATGGTTCCGCTATATAGATAAATAGAAGTTTAATTTAATACCAAGAACCATAGATCGCATAATGCAACAAGTTTTAATGAACAATCGTGTTCGTTATTATCTATATTCCATAAGGTAAATCCTCCACTCTCATTGGTTCGTAATTTCTAGAGAATTAAGGTTTTCTCCATCAACATGGAGATTAAACATAAATCGATAGTACAATAGACGATATCTGATCATGCCAAGCAAGATAAATTAATCTCTCTGATTTTGCACTCGTAAGAATGAAATCGAATGAGGAAATACTAGTTCCAATTTCCATGCTGATTGCATTCATTTCGATAAAAAAAAATTCTACATTATATGGGGATCAATTTTAAAAATACTTGAAAACAAGAATAATAATAATTTCTCAAAGGATTAAAAACAAATATCGAGAGAATAATGCAATCTAAATTTTTTTATCATGGTTTTAGAAAAAAAAATTTTCCAAAACATTACAATATTTCTAGAGGAGTGCACTCTTCAAAATCAACCTACTTTACTCGATTGATGTTAATGTTCCTCGATGTTTAAAAAATTTTTAATCACTTTTGACACATTAATTTTCCAATCAAAACTTTACTAACTTTCCAACTTGTAACTCAGTAAACGTCAATCTTGATCTTCGACACACAGTGCATTCCAATTTTAAAATTTGCAGAAATTTTCACCAAGATGAGAAACAAATCTGATTGCATTTAGCTAAATTGGAATTTACTTTTTTAAACAGAAAATTTGTCATCTGCAATTTGTAAAAAAAAACGTCAGATACTGTTTCTGTTGGTAAAATAATCAAATACAATTTTTTACTTATAAATATAGCCCAGTATTCAACCGAATAATTTTTTAAAACTACTCGGATTCATCTTTAAAATGTTGACACTCATTTCATTTGTAGAAAAAAAGGGTAAAAATAATTGCAAAAAGAATTTTTGTAAAAAAAAAGGGGAAAATTATGATGAAAAATGTTTCCCTCGAGACCATATCAGCAGTAGGTTAATAGCCATGGTCGCAACGGATGTCGTATGTTATTATCAGAGCCAAAGATGTGGTACGGTGAAAGACCCTTGTGGAAAATGGTAGCAACAGCCGGTATCACTTACGATACCGATGGCAGTAAACTTGAGCAAACTAATGCAATATTGTAAAAGGATATTAAGAGGCTAGTGTTGGTCTTCGTGAGTTGCGTTGCAACAAGCTTCGCCCCAACAGAAGGCGAAGGCAGTCATTGATTTATCTTTAGTACCTTTAATGTCTCCGGCTTTAAGGAGAAGATTATTTTAAGATATATCGTCACATTTATTTTTCCCTTTCTTTCATTTTCAAACAAAGGATTTTAAACAAATTTTATTCGAAAAATATATTATCAATTTGAGAATAATTGTTGATTTTTTTTTTCAGGTCTTTGTCATCAGGACGCTCAACACATAACGGCAATTTTGGGTGAGAGTGTGGTCTTCAACTGTCATGTAGAGTTCCCTGAGCAGCATCCAGTGCCGTATGTTCTCCAGTGGGAGAAGAAGGTAGGCGACACGGTACGATATCGGACATCTCCCTCTCTGCTCTCTATCCGTGAGTTAAAGAAAGGGGCTCCGTTCGTTAAGGGCACAATCCTGGTACCAGTAACGGCCGCGTTACCCGAGAACATCCGTAATAAACTTATTCCTCGGAGAAGACCAAATGAATCGATCGACGAATTCTTGGTAAGAATCGGCAAAGGCCTCTCATTGTCTCCGGAAACCTCTTTCTATCTATCGATATCATACTCTCTTAATATGTAAAGTATGCTTCAATTAAACTCCAAGGGTGTAATTACACTGCTTTTAAAACACTTCTGATTTAATGAGGTTCTTGGAATTATATTGATATCCCTTTTTTGAAACTTCGGTCTCTCTTTTCCTCTTTTTAAAAGTTAAATTTTACCAAAAATTATGGCTTTAAGTAGTTTAGAAATTGCCTTCAGGTTTTGGGAATCTTATTAACCTTTATCAAATGAATTTAATCAACAAAAAAAATTGAAAGATTCAATAAGATTTAATAAAAATTTAGAGCAAAAAGGATTTCAGATGACCCATTGTAAAAATATTGTTTAACCCAAAAATTGCAATGTATGTCACTATTTCTTTATAACTAACTTATCCTTTTGAAAAAAGAGATTTTCGTCTATTGTACTTGGGGATTACCTTGTGTATCGTTTCTCATATATATAACAAAGATTTGAGCAAGCGCGAGTTTGATCTCTTGGGGTTTCCGGAGGTTAAGCCACGATGAGAAATTTCTCTCGCGTATATACGAGATTGAGGGCATTTTATTATAAATAAATAAAAAAAAAAATCAAAGTCAAATTCTTTTTAAGGACAAGCATGCGAAACAGGTGGCTTTGCTGATCATATTACTAGCATGATTATCTTGCGTTACATCGCCCACGATATGGCGACGAACGTTTCGTATCGAATTTCTTACCTGGACCAAAGCAGGATGTTGGGTAAAATTTGCGTTTTATTTATTTTATAAATAAATCGAAGGTCTACTCTATATCCTTGTCGATAAAATCCAGTTTTTTTTAAAAAACTAATATATATGAAATGTAATTTAATTCGGTAAGATTATTTTTATTTGAAATTATTTTTTGGGTCATGAAAAAAAAACGAAGAATTTTTGAAGCCTGGTATCAGAGAACAGTGTGGAGCGTGAGCCCCTGAAACAAGTTACGTTGTTCGAAGCATCGCTAAAGTGATTGTCAAGACTTGTTTGTTACGTGTTGTTACATTTAATTATGATTTCGAACTTACAATGCTTGTCAAGATGTCGGCGAACACGACACGCCACATCACTTGAAAATTGTGTCAAGTTTGTGTCGTATGCAGCTTCGTCGACGCATTATAATTTCAAGGAGTCTATACATAATTAATTTTTTTTTAAAACTTTCATAACTGAAAAAAATTTCAATATCAAAAATTATGATGTAAACTCTTTGATATTGTTTGATTAATTTATCTTGCAATCCGGACTGAAGAGGGCAGAGCGCGTATAAATTGAACATAAAAATCACAATAATTGAGAAAATTCATAAAATGAAATTTAATCATTCATTTCTCGAAACGACCTCTCATGAATGCACCCTCATGAAGCATCATGAAATCGCGATTCACTTTCCAGAATTTTTTTTTTTCTAAAACAGTAGATTATTTCCTTTATCATAAGTTCATTGCACTAACGAGAGACTAGACCTTCTAAACGGAGACCAAAGTGAATACAAGTCAGATCATTAATCAGTCCAGTCTAAAGCTGCTTAGATCCTTCTTGTCGCTTTCTCTTTAATTTTACATTGTCTACTTAGTCTCCTATTAGAAGATTAGATAAAAATAAAAAAAACTTTTTTATTTTCAAAATGTCTCTCGCTGGTTTAGTGTACTTTTCATTTATTCGGGTAGATATTAAAATATATCCAAAAATCGATCTAGAAATCATAACTCTGTCTCTCTAATATCTGGTGTTTTTGTTGTGCTTGTAAAAAATTCATTTTTGATAAATCTGCTTTTCACGTGGTAGTTGCTTTGAAAAAAAAAATCATAAGTAGATGAATAGTTAAAATTATGTGTACGTGCATGAATAATTTCTTAATATTAATCATTCATACTTAGAAATATAAAAATTTTAAATATTTAAAATACTTTTTCCATTAGATTTAACCCTCTTAATTTATTATTTGAATTTAATAACTCTAGTTAGAAATAGGGAAACATTTGCGTGCGCAATCTGAAAGAAGTAGGGGGTGACCAATAAAAACCCGTTTTCTCCCACTTCTCACGCGCGCTTATTGGTTGTTCGGCGTTAACCCTACAATCCTTCAACGGGATATTTTCTGTAATATATTATAAAATAATATATTAGTAGAACAATAAATAATAAAAAAATATTCGTCATTAGTTAATAGACATTTTGAATGACATTTTTGGAAAATCTCCCATGAAATAGATTTATATAAATATTTCGCGTAAATACATAATTGAGTTTCAGGAATCGGGAGTCGATTAGTAAGTGGAGATAGTTTGCGATGCATTAACCATGAACTCAATATTGACACCGCAAACCTACGTATCTATCGTTTAGTAATTAATTAATCGATTCCGTCTGCTAACACCACATGATCATTGCATTATTGACGTGTTTCCCGGCTACATTCAATGGTCAACTAAACTTTCATTTAAAAAAAATTATCAACTCCATGATTGTCATCAAATTCATTATTATTTTTATACAATTGTTTTATATTTTTGCTACTGTTTTCACCAGCTCATATCATATTCATTATTCAATTTTCCATTCTATTTCACCCCTTTTTTTGTTCCTATTCATTAATATTGTCGATTCTTTTATTCTATACATCAGTTATAATTTCATTCATCTGCCGATTGTTTGATATTTCATTTGAGAGTTGAAATTCACAAAATGCAAAAAAAAAAAATTGAGCAATGGGAATAAAATAATAAAAGAATGTATCAGTCAATTAATCATCAATTAAGTAAAATTGAGTAGGAACGAAATTTTTTTTGTTCCAATGGAAAATGATACTGATAAAAGTAGAGAGAAGCCTGAGTGGGGAAGTTAACGATTGAAAGACGCGTCGAGATTACTAGACCGCTTGACCCCTTTTCATCGTTTCTATCTCTTCTTTTGTCTTCTTTTTTTCATCAGACCAATGTACCTTTTTTATTAAACGTACTTTTAAGTAAAATGAAAAATTAATTAAAAGCTGAGTATCATTGATTAGGTAGAGCAAAAAAAAAGAAACTCATAATCTTAATGAAAAAATTTTCTTCCTTTTACTATTTATTTATAATAAAACTTGTTTTGGAAATCTAAAAAAGATGACTGTAATTTGCAAAAACTAAATAAATGGTAGTAAGAAAATTTATATAAAAAATAGAGAAAAAAAAATTCGATAATATAGGAATGCTAAGAGGGGAGAAAAAAAATTTGTTCAAAAAACAAGAGAAGTTGAGGTGAAAAATAAGAGAGAATTTGTAAAATGTTTTCTGCTAGTTATAATATCTTTCTGCAACAAGTCACGTAAATCAGGGGAAAAGCTGCAGCTCTGTGAGCGCGTTTAGAGTCAGCGAACTTTCGTGCTGCCACTGACAATTAATTTCTCTTCTCTGTTCTTTTGTTTTGCTGGTATACGCAATGCTTCTCACCTACATCCCTTTATACTATACTTCACTCGTCATATATGTGACTAAAAGAGTTGAGAAAGGCTAAAAAAAACCAGCTTTACCAACCAAAATACTGAATCGGTGATATGTAACAAATCCGCAGGCTTTCATTTCGATAAAAAAAAAAAAGTGTTCCCTTTTTTGAAAAGGCAACAATTTTTTTGGCATTAATAAAAGAAAAATAGAAGAAGATAAAAAAACAAGAACACTCTCATTTCAATTCCGATTTTAGAATGAAAAATCTCGTTTGATTGATGTTTCATGTTTTTTTTTTTATTACTATTCGTATTTCTTTTCTATAATTAAAATTTACTCAAATTCTTTTTTTTCTGTATCAAAAACTGTATTTGTTGTAAAATTACTCGTGTAGATTTAAATTTTTTTTTTATCCAACAATTAAATTTCTTTTGATTTTGTTCATTTTGAAAGAATAGAGCACTCTTGCAAACACGTCGTTTACATTTTTCACTCTCTGAGTACAGAAAAAAACGTGTATTCACGTAGGGCTATTTGTAAAAGTGAGACTCGTGCGTACTATGCTATATTATTAAAATGTACGAGTACGTTTAGTTGTGTAAGAGAGAGAGATGAATAAAGTAAACATTGTCGCAATAAAAAAAAATAATGCTGTAAATATTTCGATATTAGAAAAAGAAAAAAAAATCTTTTTTTTTTATAGAACCAAGTGTATATTATTATGTACACATGTGCAAGTATACACAAAGAAATATTTACATAGGTGATATGCTTTACACGCGAGGTGCGTGCCTTAAATAAGTCTACACAAGGTAACATAGCTTTTTGCCTCAGAAATATACAGAGTATGTTTACATTCATGTTATTTGCATAAAATATATGCTTCTATGTGTGTCGTGTATCTTCGCATAATGTGACACATACTGACACGTATATTAAACACATATACTTAATGAGTTAGAAAGGAATAAAATTTTCACTTAAAATTATTAAACAGTTTATGAAATTTGAATTTTATCAAGACATTTTTTTGTACATATTCATATTTTTTATGAATAGATTGAATTCTTTTATAAAATTCTCACAAATTTTTTCAAAAATTAGATTTATTTAAAAAAAATACAATTTTTTTTATTATAATCAGCACGTGAGCATAAATTTACGAGTGGACATAAAAAGTAAATTAATTTGAAATAGTACAACTATGCATATAGAACAACTGTGCTTTTGTTTCGTAGACTCTCAGCTACGTGACAATTGCACCTTTTGTTGTATGTATATATAGAAAGTAATATTACAAAACAGCGATTCATATTCAAACAGCAACTCTTATAAATTTTCTC